GACAGAACTCACCACAAAGAAATCAAATGAAGCAGATGACAACACTACAAAACTGAGCTCCTTGTGTTCAATGTATGATGACATAATTGGAGGAAAGTACCTCTGGTGTAGAAACTAATGGGGTAAACAGCAGTGTAACACTTCAGAAACAAAGCTATCTGAGTGAGCACGTTTTCAAGAAGTGCTGAAAAACTGAAATACTGGGAGAGCAACAAAGGCAGATTCTCCCCCACCCCCCCACCCCATTTTGCTGAAGCTGCACAGAAGTTTCTCTGTACCGTGTAGAAGTGTTGAGAGAGAACAGCTGTTCAGTGCAACTTCACATGTTGTGGATAAGAGGAGCTAGCTGACTGATGTGCAAAAAAGCAGAATGTTGCTTTTTGTCAAGAAAAACCTTCCACTCTCCCACTTTGCTATGCTAAAGTTTAAGTAAGTAAGTTGTTGTTATTTTTACAATGGCTTCTGCTACTACAAACTGTACCTCAACATTTTTCGTTTTTAATTTTTATGTCTTAACCTGCATTTTTCATGGTTTTATTTTGAAGCCAAAATTGCTTATGCCATTTTTTCTGACTCTGTGGTGATTTTTGTAAAACAAATTGAATATTGAGTTTTATAATGACTTTGCTATCAAATTAATCATTATGTAACTGTATAAAGTTGGCACCGCAGTGCTAGGTAGGGTCGAGGCCCTCAGTAACTCAGGGTTTGGCAGGATTGTGCCAGGGGGGCAGAGCTTCCCAGATCTAAGAACTCAACTAATGTTTCCCGATTCTCGCCTGCCATGACTTGATGTTGAATATTCTTACAGTTGGGCGGTGGTCTGTTCACTGAGCATTTGTTCTAGGATTCCTCCAGTTGGTTTTCTTCTTGGGGCTCCTACCTCCCCTTTACCCTGTCCGTACATCAGTCAGTTGGGAATAGATGGATCACTAGTGTAGATGGACCCTGAAGCCAGCCGGCTCACTTGTGCTGCTCTTAGTCTTACGTTGGCCTTAAGGCCCTTAAGGCCAGGTCATTAATAAGTACCGGGGGCCAGACTTGCACACTCTGCGGTGCCCAGGCCTGCCTCTCGGGAGGAATGAATCAACTCTTGTGTGTTATCTAAAGTCAATAAAGTCCTTACCCCACTCTAGGTTTACACTGATTAATTACTTCTGGCCTCTAGAGTCAATCCGGCCATGACTCAGGCATAGTGGGTTAGACCTCTCCCTCCACAGTCAATTGATAGCAATGAAAAGAAAGCAAATACCCATCATTTTCCTAGCTCAATCAGTTCTCAAGCAGTCCTTCTGAGCTGGGATCTTTAAGTCCATGTCCCATTATAGATTACAAACTCCTAAGTAACACAGCAATTAACCCTTTAAAAAAAAACTTAGGGCTTTACCATGCCTGGGTCCCCGGCCTCCTGTGGCTGCCTGACTCGCTCGCAGTGTTCTTGGCATTTTGGTGCTCCCGACCTTGCAGCAGCTCTTGATACACGACTGAGGTTAGCAGCTAACTGGGGACCCCTCTGGGTCTCCAGGTTTTGAAGACAGCCGTGTTCTCCCCCAGATTTGGAGCCTCCCAGGGTTTTTCCTCATCAGGGCTCTGCTTCATGCCTCCCAGGAGCTCCGCTCTCCTTTTTTTCTGCTCATGCCAGATCATGGGGGTAGATATAAATTTCACCGGGGGCTCCAGTCACCACTCCATCATCCATTCTGCACCTAGAGTTAAGTGGTGTTGGTCTCTTGCCCTTCCTGGGCTAACAAGGGAGAGCTTCCCTTTTTCATCACAAAAGTTCATACTGCAAACTACTTTAAAAGTAAAGTTTTGAAGTTAATATGTGTTTTTATTTTGCTACAAAATGTTTGTAGAATGCAAAAAGTCTATCCATCTGTGTGTGCACGCATGCATGTGTGCTATAAATGAAAAATAAACCAAAAAAAATATGTATTTATGTCAGTAGTTTAAAATGCCTTGCATTATTACTAAATATTGGTTATTGAATCTGTATTAGCTGATGTGGCTGGTTAATAATCAGCCATCTGTATTGGCCAAGAAAATCTTTATCAGTGCACCCCTACCAGTTACTGAAAGTAGTGAAATCTCTTGCTTATAGCTTTGACTGTAACCTAAAACATGTTCAGAGTTACCTTTTTGTAGAAATATTACTACTTTTACTAGAAATTGTTTAATAATTCTGTTTTTAAAACTGAATTTATTTCAATTACACAGTTTAAATTTTCATATTTACAGCACTTCCATTTTCAAAATTTGTTAAACATTTAGTTCCTCCATGCCTCTGTCATACAATGTGTTCCAGAATGGGGCTGGGGGCTCAGCATTTTGTTACCATTTATATTTGGATAGTGAAATGTGTTTATTTTTCACTGATTTCTGACTAGCTAGAATGCAAGAGGTGCTATTTCCATCTGGAAATCTGACAATAAATGCTTATTATAATTTAAAATATGTATACTTTGTGTGAGGAAAAATAGGTATAAGTGTTGTATATCATAAACTATGTATTTTTATTTCTGTGGTATATTACAGGAAGATGATCAAATACATACTATATGTGCGGGCCGGGAGCGACCCAAACCCTTTTCACGCTGCACGAGGGCTGTGGCCAGCAGCCCGGGCACGCCGGGGCGGAGAGGGAAGGCCGTCGAGCTGGAATTAGGCACGGACGCGTAGCGGTAGTTTAAAAGATTGTTTACTTACACCGAGATGGCAGTGGTGTAGGCTGGAAAGCTTGCTTAAGTTGCGGTTACAGACAGGAAAGAAGAGAGGCGGACAAGAGTTCTAGACTCGTGAACTCTAGCCCAATCCGCCTGAAGGCTCTGAACACGCGAACCCGTCGTGTCAGCCGAAGAAAGTACTCGTCCGGAAGAGCTCTGAATAAACTCACACGAAGTTTGCTAGGCTCCATGGGTCCTTCTGCTCACTCATT